CAGGTCACAGGTGAGTTCAGGTCACAGGTGGGTTCAAGTGGGTTCAGGTCACAGGTGGGTTCAGGTCACAGGTGGGTTCAAGTGGGTTCAGGTCACAGGTGAGTTCAGGTCACAGGTGGGTTCAGGTCACAGGTGAGTTCAGGTCACAGGTGGGTTCAGGTCACAGGTGGGTTCAGGTCACAGGTGAGTTCAGGTCACAGGTGGGTTCAGGTCACAGGTGAGTTCAGGTCACAGGTGAGTTCAGGTCACAGGTGAGTTCAGGTCACAGGTGGGTTCAGGTCACAGGTGAGTTCAGGTCACAGGTGGGTTCAGGTCACAGGTGGGTTCAGGTCACAGGTGGGTTCAGGTGGGTTCAGGTCACAGGTGAGTTCAGGTCACAGGTCACAGGTGGTTTCAGGTCACAGGTGGGTTCAGGTGGGTTCAGGTCACAGGTGAGTTCAGGTCACAGGTGGGTTCAGGTCACAGGTGGGTTCAGGTCACAGGTCACAGGTGGGTTCAGGTCACAGGTGGGTTCAGGTGGGTTCAGGTCACAGGTGAGTTCAGGTCACAGGTCACAGGTGGTTTCAGGTCACAGGTGGGTTCAGGTCACAGGTCACAGGTGGTTTCAGGTCACAGGTGGGTTCAGGTGGGTTCAGGTCACAGGTGAGTTCAGGTCACAGGTGGGTTCAGGTCACAGGTGGGTTCAGGTCACAGGTCACAGGTGGGTTCAGGTCACAGGTGGGTTCAGGTCACAGGTTACAGGTGAGTTCAGGTCACAGGTGGGTTCAGGTCACAGGTCACAGGTGGGTTCAGGTCACAGGTGGGTTCAGGTGAACTACAGAAACTGATGTATGAGGTCATATGTTACCTGCTCACTGTCCCTTGAGTCACATGGTCTGAGGACAACGGCCCCGCCCTTCTGACTGACCCGACCCTGGGCCACCAGACAGCGGCTGGTTGCCAGGTTCCTGAGCTGAAAGCAGGTGAACACACAGGATGAGGTCATGCAGGAAGCTCAGGTGTACACCAGGTAAACACTGTGTTGTGTTTAGGTACCCGCCCTCGCTGCAGGACTTTCGGCCTCTTTAGGCCCTTGTTGATGAACAGCGCCTGCTGCTTGTTGCCCTTGGCCACCGCCTGCATCTCGGGGTAAACCGTGTCCAGGTACCAGCGGAACGAGTGACACTGCAGCTGCTTCCTGAGCGCCACACGCTCACTGATGTCACCGTAACCTCGCTCACGCAGCTCTGGACGCAGAGACAGGAACTGCTCCTGGTGGGACAAAAACATACAGGAAGTGATGTCAGAGGGTGCTGCAGAGTGTGTGTGTGTGTGTGTACACACACGTGTGTACCTTGTACTCATCCATCCACACGTGTGCCAGCCGCAGAGAGTTGTGAGCCATGGTGTCCTGTCCACCAGGGGAGCCGTAGGGACGTCTCTTCCTGAAGATGTGACCCACTCTGGAGCAGGGGATGATGAGGAGCTGACCACCACACATCCAGATCTGAGGACAGGTCCACTCAGAGTCAGACAGGCTGTCAGGACACCTTCAGGGACCGTCTGTAAACATCATTCTCACCCTGAAGGAGATCTCCAGGTTCTCTCCACCCCAGATATCCATCCCAGCATCGTACTGGCCGAGCTCGTTAAAATACTTCCTGTTCATGGCGAACAGACCACCGGCCATGGTGGGAGACCTGAGGGAACAAGACCAGACCTGAGACCTGACAGTTACAGGTACCTGACGGGTCAGATACTGCTTACCTTATGGGTCCAGAGGCCCCCTCAGGCTCGTTCAGTTCTGAGGGGGGTACAGGGTCCCATTTGAAGTGGAGCCCCCAGTTAAAGCCCCCCCTGACGATGGGGGAGGGCGAGTAGGTGAGGGTGTCGGCAGAGATGATGTCGATGACGGGGCAGACCACGGTGCGCCGGTCCTGCTGGATCGGAGCCAGCAGGGGCTGCAGCCACACCTGGTTCACCTCACAGTGGCTGTCCAGGAAGACCAGGACTTCACCTGCACACAAACACAGGTGTGTCTGGGTTACCTGCAGGTGGAGCAGCTAGGATGGAGGGTGTCAGGAGGAAGTGGGTACCTGTGGCGTGGGAGGCTCCTATCATACGTCCTCTGATGAGTCCTTCCCTCCTCTGGTTCCTCACCAGGTGGACTTTAGGCTGCAGCTCCATCCTGATGTACCTGTCCAGGTCATCCTTCAGCTCCTCTGCAGCATCACACACAACACACAGGTGAGCTGCAGGTGTGTAACCAGTCACAGCTGCAGGTGTGTAACCAATCACATCACAGCTGCAGGTGTGTAACCAATCACAGCTGCAGGT